TGACTGGGAGCGTGCCACTGCACTCCAGTCTGGGCGACAGAGTGAGACTCCAACTCAAAAAATAAAAATAAAAACACAAGTGTAAACCTGGATGTTATTTTATATTTGGGAACTCTGTTGCTTTGGTTAAATAGACCACCACATCCCACCCACCTTCCTCAGCTCCTGTCCGTGTCACAATACCTCTGCCATCAAGTAGCAGTCACCGTTCATTTTCCTTCATCTCCTTCCACTGCAGCCAGAAAAATCCTCCTAAATTCCCAAATCAAACATAGATTCTTCCTTTTTGAGACAGGGTCTCCTATATCGCCCAGGCTGTCGTGCTTGGAGCGATCATAGTTCATTCTAGCCTCGAACTCCTGGGCTCAAGTGGCCCTCTTGCCGCAGCCTCCCAAGTAGCTGGGACTACAGGTGCATGCCACCACATCCAGCTCATTTTTTTACATTTTTATTTTTGTAGAGATGGGGTCTCACTGTGTGCCCAAGCTGGTCTTGAACTCCTGGCCTTAAGCAATCCTCCTGCCTCTGCCTCCCAAGTCAGTGAGATTACAGGGTGCCCAACCGTGCATAACCAGATTCTTTAAGATATAGTTAATGGGGAAGAGGATTTCCTTGGTTCTTTCGGTGGATTCTGTTACTTTCTTTGAAAATTCACCAGGGAGAGCCTGGGCTGCAGGCAGCAGCTTCATCTCCATTGACAGAAACGTCCTTGATAGCAGTGTATTGTGCTGACATTGTGGTGGATATACAGGTGGCACAGCACTGGGGCTCGCCTGGGCATACTCTGGCCTCCCCGTGATGTGGCCACAGGAAAGGTGCCCCCCCGCAGACAGTAGAGGCCAGTGTTGCAGGACTTGCGAGGAGGCCTTTCCTCCGCAACCTATTAATTCAGCTACGTGTGTATGCCTTTCCCGTGGAGCCTTGTCCTCGGGATGCTGGTTGGGAGCAGGAGGGGCTGTAGCTGGTGAGGGGCCCCAGGCCCAGCAGGGATTCCGCCCCCCTTGGAGGTTCCTTAACCTCTGAGTCTTCCTTCTCCTTCAGAAAAAGTGATTTGAAATGTCTTCTTTTTTCTGTCACTTAAAAGTTAAAGTCTAGACAGATGCAAACTTGTCTTGCGCTTCCAAAAAAACATAGACTGTCACATGTTTACCATAAACCAGCCTTTGGAGACTTTTGTGTATTTTTGTCTTTTGTCCACACAAAATGTCTTCTCAAGTAGGAAGAGAGGTGCCCTCCAGGTTTGTATCGTTTGTGTCTGGCTCAGTGCTGACTTGGCCGCAGTCCGGGCTGAGTCTCCTCGGGATGACTGGCTTAGCACCGACTGGGAGATCAGTGAACTTGATGGCATGCTTGTGTTCATCTTATTTTGAATCGACCCTGTGTTTTGGCAAGGAGGACTTGGGAAGAGGGACTCAAAGAAGAATATAGAAGAAGTATGGGGGTGGAGGTGGTGGCTGTCGCTTCTGGGAAGAGGTGGTTGAGGACAAGCTTGCCTCCAGGTGGAGGGACAGGAAGGAAATCTCTTTGTGTTTTGGAACTGGCTGCGTCAAAACTGACTTTCAAGGTCCGGTTTGAAGACCCTAACCTCTCAGTCCTTTTCTGTTGTCTTTGTCTTGCTTTTCTACAGAGTTTTCAGGAGTTGAAAATGACAATGAAACTGAGCCTGTGACTATGGCCTCTGCAGGTTGCTGGATTTTTTTCCCTACAGCTCACTGTTGTGTTTCATTTAAAGATGAGACATTGATTCATTCCACATGTTGCATGAAACGCCCCAGTTGCATCTTGTCCCCGCGCCATCTGAGCTGCTTCTCTCCATTCTCCTGCCCCACTGCTTCATGGGATCCCCTTTCCTGCCCGCTCTGAGCCCCGGGGGAGGGAGGGCCCAGGACTCATTCAGGTGACACACCCAGGGGGGTCTTCTCCCCCTCCCCCCCCGTCACATTTTACCCTGATCCCACTCTGCATGACACCCCTGCTGAAATCTCACAAGCCAGGTTTGGGAGGCCACTTCGTGACTCTCACATGGCTGAACCACAAGACAGGAAATGGCTCATTTCTGGATATTCTGTCCTCATTGATGCTACATTATAAGTAGAAGTTTCTTAGAAACCTCCATCCTGGCAATGATTTACGATGTCTGATACCTGTACCAGAATGAGACACGCTACTGGAAATGTGTCTCTTCTCCTTCACCAGTTTAAGAGCGAGGTTGAGTTTCACCTGCTTGGCTGTGTCCTGGCCTATCCAGGGCCATTTTATGGCTTTTTGTCTTCCATGTAACGTCTTCACTTCCAAGTTATCCTCGGTAGCAGGAGGCAGGAAGGATGGGACTCAGCAAAGTTGCAGTCCCATGGGAGAGCCTTCATCTCTGCCGTCAGTGCAGGGGCAACTTGAAGCATTTGTTCTGTCTCCCTAGTCATGCTTGTGGGACCCCCTGGCCCCTGCAGAGTGTGCTAGAGAAGCCGCCAGGGTGTGATCCAGCCATAGAGAGGCAAGGGCTGAAGAGACTGGTGCCGGCAGGAAGTGTCCCCTTACACCCTGGTGATGGGGGCGGGGTAGGCCACCCTGACTAGGGGGCGGCTGGATGCATGGGGACACTCGGGGGACCTCTTAGTTTCGAGTGAGGAACTCCCAGCTCCCCCTTTCGGCAGGCTGCATGCATGATCATAATCGATTTAATGTCTTCATTACACTTCCATGTAGAATGCGAGGCTAACAGGATTTGGTATGAACTAACCCGCATGTCCATCCGCCAAGCTGCCACCTCTGGTCACGCTGCATTGAGGAGTGACTTGGGAGATGCCAGGCTGCACACCTGACTTCTTGCTTTGTCCCCGTCCCAAAGGTGGTGACCTGCGCATGACCCAGTTTTTTCGAGGTAATCTGGCTGGCCTAACGCTCCGTTCTGGAAAACTCGCAGATAAGAAGGTGATTGACTGTCTATATACCTGCAAAGAGGGGCTAGACCTGCAAGTGCCCGAAGACAGTGGCAGAGGCGTGCAGGTATCACTGAGCATCTGCCCGCATGACACTCGTGCGCTGCTTAGAGCCACACCTGGAGGCTGGGGGATTAAGGAGTTGTCTGTGATCGACGCATCTGTGCCTTAGACATGACCATCTTATAAAAGCGGGTCTTGTTCGCTGGAATCACATGAGCCAATCTCGCCAAAGCTGCCATGGTGTCAGCTCTGTGCACTTAGACATTCCTCCTTCCCTCTCTCTGTTTGGTGTGGTTTCAGATCCAGGCAAGCCCCAGTCAGTCGGTGCTGACCTTGGAGGGGGACGATCTCGGGGAGCTGGATAAGGCCATGCAACACGTCTCCTACCTGAACTCCCGGCAGTTCCCCACGCCTGGGATCCGAAGACTCAAAATCACCAGCTCGGTCAAGTATGTCCTGATTTTTAGCAATGAACCTGTTTGAACTCCATGACACGTGTGTATTTAGGTTTTTTTTTGTTTTTTTTGTTTTTTTTTTCTTTTTTTTTTTTGAGTTGGAATCTCACTCTGTCGCCCAGACTGGAGTGCAGTGGCCGCTCCCGGTCACCGCAGCCTCGACCTGCTGGGCTCCGGCGATCCTTCCGCCTCAGCCTTCCGAGCAGCCGGAATTACAGGCGTGCGCTACCACGCCCGGCTGATTTTTTAATTTATTGTAGAGATGAGGTCTCACTGCCCAGGCGGGTCTCGAACCCGCGGGCTCAGGCAATCCACTCACCTCAGCCTCCCAAAGGCGCGGGATTACAGGCTGAGCCACCGAGCCCGGCTTGTATTTAGGTTTTTAAAACAACCTATCCTCCCTTCTGTACGGCAAGGTGAGCCATCACCCCTCACCAGAGTGTGGGCTAGAGACTTGCATGGTGCAACACATTGTGTTTGCAAGTATTTTCCTGGAGTGGCCACTGTCTTCGGTCCCCTCTGGGTGTTTGTGGACCCCATGTCTCCCGTCTCCTCGCACCTTGCACAGGGGGGCGCCGTGCCTGGCTCCCAAAGCCCTGACCCTTTCCCATTTCTTGCTGGCAGGTGCTTTAATGAGGCCACCTGCATCTCGGTCCCCCCAGTAGATGGCTACGTGATGGTTTTACAGCCCGAGGAGCCCAAGATCAGCCTGAGCGGCATCCACCATTTTGCTCGAGCGGCTTCTGAATTTGAAAGCTCAGAAGGGGTTTCCCTCTTCCCTGAGCTTCGAATCATCAGCACCATCACGAGAGAAGTGGAGCCCGAAGGGGATGGGGCCGAGGACCCCACAGGTAACATGCTAGCGGGGCCCAGGCTCCCTCGCGGCTAGAAGCCCTGTTGTGGCTGTTTGCTGACGGGGCTCTTTTGGATGATCTTTGGAAACCCCCTGGAGGGGCATGGCACTTCTTCCTGGCTGGTGGCAGGCTCCAAGTGTGGCTGAGGTTGAGGGGCTGGGACAGTTGCAGGAGATTCTGCATGCTCCTGCCAGGCTCGTCAGCCCGGGGACAGCATCTCCACCACTCTAACTCTGGATGAGAGGAACCCTCAGTGCTTGCTTTCTTTCTTTTTGAGTCAGACTCTCGCTCTGTCACCTAGGCTGGAGTGCTCACGACCACCGCAGCCTCGACCTGCTGGGCTCCGGCGATCCTTCCGCCTCTGCCTTCCAAGTAGCTGGAACTACAGGCATGCGCCACCTCGTCTGGCTAACTTTTTGATTTATTGTAGAGACAAGGTCTCACCAAGTTGCCCAGGCTGGTCTCGAATCCCTGGACTCAGGCAGTCCTCTTGCCTCCACCTCCCAAAGTACTGGGATTGCAGCTGTGAGCCACCGCACCTGGCTTGAACCCTCAGTTCTTGAAAGAGTGATTCTCCTCCCCCCACACTTCACTGGTCCTTAAAGGGCTGTGTGAGTCTGAGGTTGAGCTGCAGGCCACTGTGCGTGAGCGACCTCCCCTGGCCCCATAGCCTCGCTATTTCTGGTCTGGCTCCTTTTGCAGTTCAAGAGTCACTGGTGTCCGAGGAGATTGTGCATGACCTGGACACCTGTGAGGTCACTGTGGAGGGGGAGGAGCTGAACCCCGAGCAGGAGAGCCTGGAGGTGGACATGGCCCGCCTGCAGCAGAAGGGCATCGAAGTGAGCAGCTCCGAGCTGGGTGTGACCTTCACAGGTGAGGGGAATGTGACCTCGCCCTGGGCGGGCCAGGCTGCAGGAATAGATGGCAGAAGCTCTCGGCCCCCTGCCTCCTGCCATCCGGGGATGTTGAGAGTGTCCTAGAGCACCTGGGAGGGAGCAAATTTGCAGGGGCGTCTCCTGGAAGGGAGGGCCATGCAGGCATTGCCTTGTGGGGCACCCTGTAATGGTGCATATCCCCACAGCAGGGAAAAGTGCCCCTGCATACCTTGGCTTCATCCTCACTACCGGAAAGCCAAAACATGTGACGTGTGGCCTGACCCAGGTGCCTGATGTACCCCACCTGCACCCACTGCCCGGGCCCTCCCGTGCTCCTAACTTAAGCTACCCAGCTGTCTTCTCACCTCTAACCCCTGCAGGCGTGGACACCATGGTCAGCTATGAGGAGGTGCTGCATCTCCTGCGCTACCGGAACTGGCATACCAGATCCTTGCTTGACCGGAAGTTCAAGCTCATCTGCTCAGAGCTGAATGGCCGCTACACCAGCAACGAATTTAAGGTGGAGGTGAGTGCAGGGCCCTGCCGAGAGGGGCCAGCAGTGGTGGCAGCCGAGGTCCCAACTGAGGCAATGACTCATGGCCCCGGGTTTGCAAACATCAACTTCTAGAGCTTTCATGGTGGCAACGATGTAGGCTCATTGTGGGGGCGGGGCTTGCCCAGCCTGGGGCCTGTGTGGGTTAGACCCATGCTGCTTTGGAGGGGCAGGGGCTTGGGGCAGGCCTGGCAGAGCGGTGTTCCCTCCCCCGGCTGCCTCGGCCTCTGCTGGGAGCCTAAGGAGCCTGGGGGAGGTGACAGCAAGTGGTAGCTAGCATCTCAGGAGGAGGGACAAGGTGGCTTTTCGGTTTTTTTTTTTAAGAAACAGTCTCTCACTCTGTCACCCAGGCTGGGGTGCAGTAGCATGATCATGGCTCACCACAGCCTCCAGCTCCTAGGCTCAAGTAACCCTCCTGCGTCAGCTTCTCAAGTAGCTGGGAATACAAGTGTGTATCACCACACCTGGCTAATTGTATGTATGTATGTATGTATTAAGGCAGGACTTATTGAGAACACAGAAAAGCTCCCACAGTGGGAGAGAATGCCCTTATTTATTCTTTGTAGAGGTGAGGTCTTGCTATGTTGCCCAGGCTGGTCTCAAACTCCTGGGCTCAAGCAGTCCTCCTGCCTTGGCCTCCAAAGTTTCCAGGCATAAGCCACCACGCCAGACCCAACAAGGCTGTTTATTGAGGTTTCACCTGAGAGGGAGACATGAGAATGCTGCTTTGGAAAGAGCAGCACCCAGGGAATCAAACGTCCTTTGCAGCTGGGCCAGGTAACTGGCCCCGTTGTGAACCGAGTCACGTCTTTGGCCCTTGTGAGCATTGCTGGTGCCGGGACCACCAGAGGCAGGGCTGGCGTGGTGACGCAGCCACCATGGGTGGGGGCAGCTGGCCCTGCTCAGAAGCCTCCCAGGCCTCTCCAGCAGCCTCACCACTGCTTGACCTGCTCTGGAGGAAGGGCCTAAGGTTACTCTGGGCATCTGGACCTTTCCACCGTGAACCTGAGCAGCAGAGCGTGGAATACACAGCGTGGCAGAACTCAGGCCTCTCTTGTTGGAACCAGAGAGAAATGGATTTGAAAGGGCATACATGGTTGTTACTTGTACTGTCTCCCATGTGATTGGTTTGGGGGAAAAGGAGGAAAAACGTCCCATGCCAGTGTTTCTCAAACAACCCATGGGCGAGGACTATTGATGCGTTTTTCCACTCTGTTTTTGGCAGATTCTTTAATAAAATGTAATAAAAATACATTATAGCTGGGCATGTATGTGCATCTGTAGTCCCAGCTTCTGGAAAGGCTGAGACGGGAGGATTGCTTGAGCCCCGGAGTTCGAAGCTGCAGTGAGCTATAATTGTACCATTGCACGTCAGCCTGGGAGACACAGCAAGAACCCATCTCAAGCAAAAGCAAAACAAATTAGAAAAGCAGTCCGTTCCTTAGAGGTGTGACTCTGTCAGATTGTCACAGCAGTTTCCAGGTGCTCACTCTGTCCTCTTCTCATAGCCCAGTTCGCCCTCAGCAGCCATCCAGGAGCTACTCAGGCATTGGTTGTGCCAGTTCTGAGTTCATTGCACCTCTCGGACAGGCTCGGGATGCCAGTCTCCAATGACGCTTTTCACTCTCTGTGCTGCAGGTGAATGTCATCCACACGGCCAACCCCGTGGAACACGCCAACCACATGGCTGCCCAGCCGCAGTTTGTTCACCCAGAACATCGCTCCTTTGTTGACCTGTCGGGTCACAACCTGGCCAATCCCCACCCGTTCGCAGGTAGGACTGTGGAGGAAGCCCTGGAGTTGAAACGGCCATGCGGTCTAAGTCGGTCCGAGTGGATCCCTGCCCCACCTGCCAGGAGCACGGCCTCCTGCTCGGAACAAGTGCCAGGCATTCCCTGTCCTGTTGCTCCCTGTCACCCACAAGGAAACTGAAACCCCCATGGGGGCCATTTCACCCGCCACCATGGAGCAGGGCATGGCCGAGCCGGATGTGAGGCTCGTGTGGAATCTCTCTAGCATTTTTTAGCACCTCCTCCTGGTCTCTGGTGTTCAGGCTGAGTTATGGCACTCACATTCTGTCCCGTCCCTCGATTTCACTGCAGTTGTCCCCAGCACTGCAACCGTTGTCATTGTGGTGTGTGTCAGCTTCCTGGTTTTCATGATCATCTTGGGAGTGTTTCGGATCCGGGCTGCCCATCAGCGAACCATGCGGGACCAGGACACCGGGAAGGAAAATGAGATGGACTGGGATGACTCTGCCTTGACCATCACCGTCAACCCCATGGAGGTAGGTGCGGACGGGCGACCCTCACAGCTGCAAAGCACCTCCGGCCAGGTCCTCAGGGAAACCGGCGTGGCACAGGCACCTTCACGTCCATGCATGCGTATCATGTGACTCCCACAGCAACCTGGGAGGCTAGCTGTCCTTGTTTCTCAGATGGGTAAACAGAGACTCAAGAGGGTTTTATTTTTGAGTAGGGCTCACTCTGTTGCCCAGGTGGGAGTACGGTGGCACGCTCACGGCCACTGCAGCTCTGATCTGGTGATCTTGCTGCCTCAGCCTTCCAAGTAGCTGGAACCACAGGCATGTGCCACCATGCCTGGCTAATTTTCTTGATTGATTGTAGAGATGAGGTCTCACCAAGTTGCCCGGGCTGGTCTTGAACCCCTGGACGCAGGCAATCCTTTCACCTCTGCCTCCCAAAGTTCTGGGATTACAGTGAGCCCCTGTGCCTGCCAGAGAGGCCTTCTTCAAGGGCACCCTACTAGGAAGCACAGGAATGCGCTCTCACGGGGTGTGCTGCTCTCGCCGTCTCCATCTCCTGGTCTTGGGGCATCCGAAACACTCCCCTGCCAGGGCTCCTGTGGCGCCATCCCCAGCCGACTTGGACCTCGTGGCTTCCTGGGTGGCAGCCCAAGTTTTGTTTTCCCTTTCGCCTGTGATAAGGCAATGCCCAGTGCAGTCCCAGCCCCTCTGGCACTAAGGAGGGAGACCCAGGCCACACTCTGTGACTCCCAGAGGATGGGGCTGGGCGGCTGGACTCACGTGGCGGGTCTTCTCTTTGCCAGACATATGAGGACCAGCACAGCAGTGAGGAGGAGGAGGAGGAGGAAGAGGAGGAAGACAGCGAGGACGGAGAGGAGGATGACGACATCACCAGCGCGGAGTCGGAGAGCAGCGAGGAGGAGGAGGGGGAGCAGGGTGGCCGCCAGGACGTGGCCCGGCAGCAGCAGCTGGAATGGGACGACTCCACCCTCAGCTACTGACCTCCCCCACCCCCGTTTCTGCTTCGGAAGGCTCTGCTGTCCTCCGTTCCCCGCCCCAAGGGTCCACGATGTACAAAGTCATTTGGCCAGTAGGTCTGCAGACCCCTCCCCATCGCCGATGTCGCCGTGCTTGGTGTGTAGGACCATAGGCCCCCTCTGCCTTCCGCCTGGGTCGCGCTTTTCAGTCCGCAGGGAGCCCGTTCTCCTCTCCGGCCGCCTCGGGCTCTGACCCACAGCGCCAGGGCCCCCTGCACGTGTGTCTGGAGTCCCCTCCCGTGAGAGGACACCGGCCCCTCACACTCCAGAAAAGCCGCGACACTGGACATGCTGACCAAGGGTCAAAATTGCTCTCTCCCACCCGGTAATCATTTTTTCTTTTTTTAAAAAAAGTTTTTATTTTTTCCAAACTAGTGCATGTATAAATAATGGCAGGATGGGGGTTAATATGTAGATGATTAACCTACTTTTTAATATTTTGTAAATAAACTGGGATTCTCTGTGTCCTTCGTGCTAGTGTCATCCAGGACCAGAAGGTACAGAGGCTCGAACGCTGAGCGCGGGGGGACCCTCGGGCTCTTCCTCCCCTCCCGGCCCCCACTCCCGCCCCGGCCCAGACGCTCCCGCTCTGGCTCGGGTCTGGGTGTGAGGCCAGGAGTCGGGCCGTGGGCTTTGGGGTGCTGCTCAGGAGGCCGGGTCAGGGGCGCCTCTTCGGAGGCTGGAGGTAGCCAGGGTGTGGCTGCCGTGTTCTCCCTGTTCCTAGCTTGGCGCTGGGGTGGGGTGCCTGGCCTCTCGCACGCTCCTCCTCAGACGGTGCTCCCTGTGCCATAGCCTGGACATCTGCGTGCAGCCTCGGGGTTCCTGCTTGGCGGGGTGTCTCCCTGCTGGTGAACGTGTGTATAGACTGTGTACACTGGCAGGTGTCCTGCAAACATATGACCACTTGGTTTGGGGACAGCAACAGGCCTGAGCGATCCACACTTAGAATGTCCACAGGTGACCCTGTGGCTCGAAGGCAGAGTGCTAGAATTTTCCCAAACAGCCCGTGCTGTCCTCCCTCCTCACCAGGCCTCCTGTGGGATGTCCCCCACTGTCTGGAGGGGGTAGATTCCCCCGCCCCAGCAGACGCCCGCTGCTTGGCTTGGTGGAGGCAGAGAGGACGCCACCGTGGTCTCGAGCCCGCACAGCACTTTGCTTTTCGTTTACTTGTAAAGTTTAGATTTCTAAAATGGGGGAAATCATTTTGAATACTGTTCTGTGACCCTGACTGCTAGTTTCAAGGACACTGAAGGCTGTGCTGTGTTGTGTGTGGCCATCCTCGTCCCGTCCCTGTAGCTGCTCTGCATAGACAACGGATAGACGCTGTCGCAGAGGGACCTTCTCACGCCATCGCCCGCGGTGTCCCCTTCGGATGTGTATATTGATGATAGGTCGGAAAGTGTCTACACTACAATAAAGTTCTGGTTCTAACTTCAGCTGGCGAGGGCTGTGTTTTCTCTCTGGTTCGGCTTTAATCCTGCCTTCCCTGGTTTCTTTTTGAACCAAGAACATGAGAACATAAAAAAGGCTTTTATTTCTTTTCTCCTGCGTTCACCTCTCGTTTCAAGGTTTCACAGAGTGCTGGTCTCGGCCCTACATCGGTGGTACTGAGCTTGCCTTCCCGCATGGAAACATGACAGAATTTAAAAAAATAGAAAACATTCTTCTCACCAGGCACACAGATCCAAGCCAGAAATCGCTGTGGCTGTGCAAATACACTGCCCACGCCAGAGCGCACCGGCTTGTTTAAATAAATAACACAACACCGACAGGTATACACGACTCTTCCATTTCCACACAGGCCAGGTGGTCTGGTGAATTTCAGCACTGAGTTGGGAACAGGAGTGTGGTTGGGCAGGTGCCCTGGGTGGCACCGGTCGCTGATGGACCCCTGGCTCATCAGAGTGGAGGTGGCACCTGGACCCTCGAGAGACAGCGGCGTGTGGCCCTGCTGAGTCTTGGAAGGCTTTGAGAGGTCAGCAGTGTCGCCTGGTGGGTCCTGAGTCAGCTGCTACATTCGGCTCTCCTGTGGGCTTCGGAAAGCGAGTCCCAGCCACATCCCCATGCCCCAAGCGAGCTTCCAGAGACTGGGGGAGGCCCTGGAACCTGCTTTTCTAAAGCTCCTCAGATTCACGCCTTTGAGAGGGCTAAGTCTGCACCATTTCAAACTAAGCACTGTCAGAGAAAAAGAGGCGGCCATCCCCCCAGCGCCCACACTTCTGGTACCTGAGTGCTCCCACAGGAGTGTCCCTAAGGTGACAGTCCCTGAAAAGACCTGGTCCTCTCCCTTAATTAAACCTTTCAGAGGTGGCTTAAAGATGCCTGCACAGAGCACTCTGCTCTGACCCGCTTGCACCTTGGTTCCTGGCCAGGTTGAGCTAAGTCTAGCTCTGATCCTTCGAACACACCCTGAGGACCAGGGTATGTGCTACGCGGAGGGACTGGGCCGGTCCCCAATCCCAGGAGGTTCTGTGAGTCGCTTGGCTATTGTTTTCTTGCCCGCAGACAAAATCACTTTACAGCAGAGAGGTGAGGGGATTCCTGTACCCGAGAGTCGCCCTAAAGTGAGGGGCAAGCGACCCTGAATCTAGGGGTACCCGGGTCTCCCTGGGAGCTGCTCAGTCTAGGGAGGATGCGCCAGGTGGGTCACATGGGCTGGCAGGGCAAGAACAGAGGACAGAGGCGTCCTGTCTGGATGGTAGGCACCAGGTGACTGCCAGGCGCCGAGGCCTGGGCAGTCTGGCAGGGAGTCTGGGAAGAAGGTCCCCCCCCCAGGAGGAGAAATGTCTTTGCTGGGCCCAGATCACCAGCTGGAAGACTGGGTGACAGTTGGCCAGAGCAGCCCGCGGCCTCCAGGCGCCCGGCACTCCACCCCCGCGAAGGATGCGTTTCCGTCTATGGCTGTCGAGTTCCTCAAACACTTCAAGTCACAAATAAATAACCAGTGTAAACAAAAGGCAATGAAGGTTCCTTCCCACGAGGCGCAGTGCAGGTTCTTGGGCCCTTTTGAGGAGAACCCACGGTGCCAGGTCCCCGGTCCCAGGAGCGACGGCTCTGCTGCCTCGGGCCGGCCGGGCAGGCTGCTACTGCCTGTTATCTTTGGACACGTTGTGGGCCAGCCAGTTCACTTTGGTTTTCCAGCTCTCCCGGAGGGCTTCGTTGAACTTCACCCTGAAGTGCTTCAGTGCCTCCTCTTCTGTTTTTCCCAGTGCCAGAGAGTCCTGAGACCAAACCAGCAGAGCACTGTCAGCCCCAAGGGGCCTGGGCCCTGGCGCACATGCGGCCCTTCCTGGGGACCGCAGGACTCCCTGGGAGGGCGTCAGGGGAGCCGCACTGTGTCTCCCGTGGGAAAGCTCTTTATTCTGGCCCAAACCGCGACAGCCCCCTGCCCCACCCTCAGACTAGATGGCAAAGATGTCTTGGCCCCAAAGACCCTCCGGTGGCTGAGTGGTCGCGCCTATTCCTTTGGAGACAGTGACCCCCGGGGGGGGGGCGGGAGCAGCTTCGTTCTGCAGGGATCAGGCACCAGAGAGAGTGTCTGGGCAGGTGCGTGGCACCAGCACCCTCACTTCCACCCACCTCCTCACACTGCAGACACGGGAAGGATCCAGCCCTCTCCGTGTACACCTGACAACATCTGCAGGCTGTGGGGCCACGCAGGTTGGCTGAGGAAGGTCATGACACATCTGCTGTTGAGCACAGTGAAACCCGGATGGCTTGACTCTGCTCCTAAGACCCGACTTCTGGGTCCAGCATGGCACGGGGATGAGGAGCCCGGAGCGCCCTGAGAGTCCGCCGCACTCGGGACCCTCTTGGTGGTACCGCTTAGGGCAGGCCTTGAGGTCTATGGTGATGCCCCGGCTCCCGCCTGGCACGTACCTTGAGATACTGGATGTCTTTAGAGCAGCTGAGCTCAGGCAGACCTGCCGCCCGCATCAGTGCAAACAGGTGGAGGAAGAGGAGCCCGTGGCGTCGCAGAATGGTGTAGGCCCGTTCACAGTAGCCGCGGAATCTGAGAGAGGTGGGGGGAACAGGTGAGGGGAGGCCGCCCAGCCACGCCCAGCGCGAGGCCAGAGGGCCGGCCTGCTCCCAACGCGTACCTTCCCCTGGGCACCTGCCTGTGTCCTGAAACAGGGATGTTCACAAGATACTTGGTTCCTCTAATCTAGTGGTCCCCAGCCATTTTGGCATCAGAGACTTGTTTTGCGTAAGACAATTTCTCCACAGACTGGTGGAGGATTGGTTTTTGATGGTTTTGAAATGATTCAAGTGTGTTACATTTATTGTGCACTTTATTTCTATTATTGCATTGCAAAAGACCATGAAATAATTATTATGAAATTATTATTTTGACGTGAGTCTGCAAGCAATTGATTTATGATGGTCTGTGCAGTCCAACCTCACTGCTCAGGTTCATCTGTGTTTGCAGCCTCTCCCCAGCGCTAGCCTCACCGCCTCAGCTCCACCTCAGGTCATCAGGCATTAGGATTTTTTTTTTTTGAGTTGGAGTCTCACTCCTTTACTCAGGCTGGAGTGCAGTGGCACAACCACGGGCACCCCAGTGTCAACCTGCTGTGCTCCAGTGATCCTTCTGCCTCAGTCTTCCAAGTAGTTGGAACTACTACCATGTCTGGCTAATTTTTTTATTTATTGTAGAGATGAGGTCTCACCAAGTTGCCCGGGCTGGTCTTGGACCCACAGGCTCAGGCAATCCACTCACCTCGGCCTCCCAGGCATTAGATGCTTATAAGGAGCGCACAGCCTGGAGCCCTCACATGTGCAGTTCACCATAGGGCTGGCGCTCCTATGAGACTCTCATGCCATTGATCTGACAGAGGGCAGAGCCCAGGCGATAATGCAAGTGATGAGAGCGGCTATGCATACAGGTGAAGCTTCACTCGCTCTCCACTCACCTCCTGCTGTGTGGCCCAGTTCCTAACAGGCCAGGGACAGTAGCGGTACCAGTCCATGGTCTGGGGGTTGGGGACCCCTCCTCTGATCAACCTCTCTACCCCAGCCAGCCTCCTGCTGTGCCACCACACACCCCCCACATCATGGGAGACTCCCCGCTGAGATGGCAGGGGCATGTTCCAAATCTACCAGCTGCCCCAGGGCCGGAGGGGGCTGAGAGTTGAGCTCTGTTCTGCGCCTGCCTGGGAAACCCGCCCCTCCCGGGCCCTGGGGTGGGGGGTTGGAGGCACCCTCACCTTTCAAATTTCTCGCTGTTATTGGTCTTCCCCTGCTGAATCACATGCACAAAGTCGTAGGTGAGGATGAAGGGGACACGCTCACGGTTGATTCCAAACTTGGTCTTGAAATTCCCCAGAAAGTGGCCGAAATCAATGTGGAACAGCTGAGGGGAGGGAAGGGGAAAGCAGAAGGGGTCAGAGAGGAGAGACTCCAGGGGCAGAGGAGAGACTCCAGGGGCAGAGGAGAGACTCCAGGGGCAGAGGAGAGACTCCAGGGGCAGAGGAGAGACTCCAGGGGGAGGAGAGACTCCAGGGAGAGAGGAGAGACTCCAGGGGCAGAGGAGACCTCAGGCCTGGGCACTCTGCCTGGAGCGGGTGCTGGCAGAAGGGCCACAGGCTGGGCCCGAGGACAGCTTCGTGGGGCCGCCCACGCCGCCCCTACCTGCCCGCTCTCGCGGATCATGATGTTGTCGCTGTGTCGATCCCCGATACCCAGCACGTATGTGGCCACACAGTAGCCGGCACAGGAGAGGGTGAACTCCTCGATGGCACGATCCAGGGCCTCCCTGGGCGGGAGAGATTGAAAACCATGGAGCACCGTTCGGCTGCTCCCACTACCGAGAGGCGGAGCGTCACGCCCCCACCCCGGAATCTGGCCCTGTGACTTGCTTTGACCCACAGAACACAGAAGTGATGCTGGGCGTCGCTTGCAGATGCTGTTCCAGAGCCAAGGCCTGAGGACACCTGCAGATTTGATCCCTTCCCTGCCCCGTACGCTGCCATGGAGGGAAACTGAGGCTGTTAAATGAGGAGGCCATGTGCAGAAAGGCACGGCTGGCAGCCAGTGCCAAGGCCCCAGGAAAGAGACGGGAGCCATCCCAGACCCTCCGGGCCCAGTTAAGGTACCAGATGACTTCAGCTGTATGAGTGACTCCCAGCAAGTCCAGCAGAAGAGCCACTCAGCTGAGCCCAGCTCAAGCTGCAGGCTGCCAAGCCAATCAGAAGTGGCTCGCAGTTTTAAGGTCCTACAGCATGGGTGGTGTTACACCGTGATAGATACTGATACTTGAGGAACAGAGACCCACCCCCACTCACTCCGACACAGCCTGGAATTGGGCTGAGCCCAGTACTTGAGGAGACCATCAGAGGCCCTTCCCCTCACCTTTGACTCTAACAGGCCAGGCCCTTCCACACTGCACCTCTTGGAAAGAGCAGAGCATCTACCCCTGGGTTGAAACTTACCCGGGGTTCTTGGACTTGAGCCAGTTGAGTAGGGCATCCTTGTTGAAGGCGGCTGTGGCTGCCATGTTGCTCTTGTTCAGCTGGATGTTGGCGATGGTGTCTGAGTGAAGTACCACCTCAATGAGGCCCGTGCGGTCCCCAGTGGGGAGGCAGCCGTAGGGGGTCATCCTAGGCAAGTAGAGGAGGGACAGGCAAACATTCAAGGCTGTCCTGGGGGCTGCTTGACCCCCAGAAGCTCGAGGCCCCCAAGAAGCCACAGGAGATGCTGCTGCCTGAGTTGCTGAGAGGGAGGGTGGAGAGGCTGGGCTTCAGGAAGGCTCCTTGGACGCACTGGCACCAGTGCCGAGATGCAGACTGTGCTGAGGCTGAGCTAAAGCCTGCTTGAAGGAAACAAGCCGGGGGCTTGGAGGAAGACGCTACTGCTTCCAAGATGGCAAAGAAAACCACGAGCAAGACGCACGCTGAGCACCGGGACAGCTCCTCCACCTCCCGGCCGCCCTGTGGTCTCCCTTGCCCCAGTGTCAAACCGCCCCCTGCTCTGCTCTTCCTGCGACAGCCCTTTGCTGGCCGAGATGCTAATGGCGGCTTCGACAGAGGCTCTCCAGAGGCTCAGGACCCTCAGCCTGGCACACACACAAGCAGACTACAGAAGGGGCCTCCTCACCTCAGGTCCAGCCCTTCCTGCTTCCACAGAACGTCCATGAGCTGGATCATCTGCAGGGTCAGCATGTCCTGGCGAAGGTCTGTGCCGCCAGCCGGGAGGAAGAGAAAGCACGTGTTTCTGGCAGGTTCTCTACTTCCAGCCACGCCCAGGCCCCTAAGACCTAGGACTCTTTTTAAATTTTATTTCACTATTATTACTTTAATTATTTTTCTGAATCGGGGTCTCACTCTGTCCCCCAGGCTGGGGTGCGATGGCATGATCATGGCTCACCCGGCCTCAACCTCCTGGGCTCAAGCAATCCTCTCTCCTCAACCTCCCAAGTAGCTGGGACTACAGGCGCACACGACCAAACCCAGCTAATTTTTTGATTTTCTTTTTTTTTTTTTAGAGACGGGGTCTGACTGTGTTGCCCAGGCTGGTCTCAAACACCTGGCCTCAATCGATCCTCCTGCCTCAGCCTCCCGAAGTGCTAGGACTGCAGGTGTGAGCCACTGCACACAACCCTTGAAGCGCCCCCAGGAATCCCGGCCTGCCTCACCATCCCCGTTCTTAAAGATGATGCCCACGCTGCCATCGCTGCCCGCCTCCTCGTTGCTGTACATGATCCACAGCGGCTTCATCTTGGAGTCCATGAAGGTGCACTGCTCCACGCTGCCGGCCAGAGAGCGGACGGTCAGTGGGGCTCCAGCAGGCCCCTGGGGTTGGGAGGAGCCCTCATGGGGCACGGGCTAGGGGCTCACCAGACTTCAGCCAGCAACGTGCTGGGGTCGAGCGGGGACTGCAGGTGCGACAGGGCCTCCAGGTAGGCCTCCTGGCGCATGCACAAGTGCATCAGCTCCTTGGTCTGGGGCTTGGTGGTCTTCTGGGAGCTCACCTTGACAAAGTCGTTCAAGGCCTTCAGTTTGCTCAGTGCTTCCCCCTGGTGGGCAGAGGGCAGGGTGGCAGGGGGTGAGCCCGAGCCTCGGCCCTGCCCAGGCGACGTCAGGAGGCCAGGGCATGACCTTGCCCACGGGCCGAGCCTCACCTGCTTCATCAGCACCCGCATGTGGTGGGTGCTGCCCCGGCAGTAGGCCTCCAGGATGAGGCCGAAGCGCAGGGCCACCGACGGCACGTGCATCTCGGAGCTGGAGGGGGAAGGGAGGGCTGAGCCTCGCGGGCAGGGGACCCGCAGGTTCCTCCCCCATGGCCTTCCAGGGAGACGCCAGGGCCAGGGGTCCCGCTACCGGAGGTGCCAGAAGAGGAAGTGGCCGATCTTGCGGTTGGCCAGGGCCCGGTCCAGCAGGAACTTGGTCAGCTCGCAGTCTAGGTAGGACTCGTACTTAAGCACCTGCACCAGCTGCAGCAGATACTGGAAGAGCTCATCATCCCTGCAGGGAAGAAAGGCGCGGGGCCTGGAGCTTCTGGGACTGGGCGCAGCCAGCAGGGGCAAGGTTGTGGGGGGAGAGACCCATACAGCCCTCAGCAGGGCCTCAGGGGAGGCTCAGCGTCCCCCTAGCACCCACCCCCAGGCAGTCGGGGCAAAGCCACCCCCCCCCTGAGGAGCAGGGCATCCGCCCGCCCTGGTACCCAGCAGGACTCACTTTAGTTTCCGCAGGGACTTGATGGCGAAGGAGCCCACGTGGCAGTCAGGGAAGCTGAAGTCCAGCAGCTCCAGGGCGCCCAGGACGGGCAGCTCGGGCCAGGAGCATAGCAGGTACAGCATCTGGGGGGGCCCGGCGGTCAGGGCGGCGGGCGGCGGGGGCGGCAGCCACACCCCAGCTCTGCCCAGGAGCCCCCCGCCGCCCACCTGGGCCACATCCTCGTGCTTGTTCCACTTGGTGACCAGCAGCAGGCGGGCCAGGGCCTCCGGGAAGTGCTCCTGGACTTCATGGCGCAGCTTCCACACCAGGTCCTTCTCGTGCTCGTAGAGTTCACCGGAGCCCCGCCGTTCCAGAATCTCCCGCAGCTGCAGCTGCTGAGGGGGCAGCGGGGTGAGGGATACGGTGCCCGCTGGTGCCACGCTCCCCCCACCCCCTTGTCCCCCAGCTCACCTCCTCCTCTGTGACGTGCCCGCATCCGCTGTGCCGCCCCAGCTCCAGGATCTGCAACAAGCGTCTGCTCTCAGGAGCCAGGCCGGCCCTGCCACCCGCCCACCCAGGTCACCACTGCCTGGGCAGGAGCTGGGTCATTCCCAGGCGTGCAGGTGTCCCGTACGCTGCAGGGCGCTCAGCAGCGACCCTGGCCTCCACCCACAAGATGCCCACAGTAGTCCTCCGGCTAGCTGTGACAACCGAGAATGTCACCAGACATTGCCCAATGTCCCCTGAAGGCTCAACGGCCCCAAACGCGCGTGCTGAGCCAGCCTCTGAAGTGGGCAATTGCTGGGGACACCGGGGAAGAGCTCCAGCAGCGGGGCGGGCCAGGGCCTCACTGACCTTCTCCAGGGCGGGGTAGTACACGGGGTGTGGGGCCACCTCGGGCAGGCAGATGACCAGGGCAGCAGCGCTCTCCGTGTTGGGGTTACTGCGCACCGTGCCCGTGGGGTTCAGCAGCTCCCCCTTTTCGTCTGAACACAGGGACAGGTGGCGCTGTATGGGGTCGTCCACCGCCACTGGGACCTCCCCAAGCCCAAAGCCTCTCCCTCCCGGGCCTGGACCGACCTGGGACAGAGGGCCACATGTAGAGACAGTGCTCCCCTGTCTTGAGCTGGTCCTTGTAGTCAAACAGCATGAGGTTGGCCCAGGCGATGGGGCAGTCCTGGGAGGGGGCAGGAGCAGGTCAGGGCCAGCCACGAGGGGCCCCCACTTGCTCATCTGCAGAATGGGACCAGCCTCCAGGCCAAGCTTCCCTGCCTCACCCGGATGCCCGAGAGAAAGTCCTCAACCAGACACCTGGGAAGACCCTGCTTGGGGGGTGGGAGGACCCACTGTTTCCTCTTAGGGTCCCAGCGACAAAGCCAGCAAGGTCAGCCAGCTCGCTGCCCTCTGTTCCCACCCACACCCTCGCTCCTGGCTTCTTGAGAAACCCCCAAACGGCCCGCACAGCCCCAGAAGACATCCCAGCTCAGCTCTGAGTCAGCTGGCTCTGCTGAAGGCGAGTCACATCCTGGGCCTGTGACTCAGCGCCCAACCACCACCCCTCCCAGGCGGGCCGCTGGCTCTGGTCTTTCTGCTCCACAAGAGGACACTGTTTGTCCTTCCACCCCAGGGAGCTGCCTCGAGGCTCCTGCTGGTCCACAGGCCCGGGCTAGAGGTCCCGAGTCGCCTGCTGAGAGCCCAGGAACCCAGTGCTGTCCCTCGGGCAGGGCTGTGGGCCGGAATGGGATGAGCGGGGCGGCCAGGTCCCGTCCCCAGGCTGCGTGCTTGCCAGGAGCGGGATGGCGAGCGGCCGCTGGGCTCAGTGACCAATGAGGCCCGGCAGGGCACGGCACCACTCGCCGGGGCCACCCCTTCCTGCTGGCCCCAGGAACCCACCGCCTTCTTAGACTTCTTCTTGGTGGAGCGAGCCTTCTTGGCCTTCTCGATCATGGCGTAGAGTGCAAAGCACAGCCGGGCCATGCGTGGCAGGTCGCAGACGCTGATGTCGAACTCCAGCCGCTGCTTCCACACGGGCTCCGAGCACACGCTCACCTCCGAGCTGGACACTGTCTTGCACAGCATCTCGTTGCCGTGGAAGAGCCCGGCCTGCACCACCAGCTGGGGGAGGGGACGGACAGGTGAGGCAGCGGAGTCCCCAGAGGCCTGGCCCCCTCCACTCCAGGCTCCTCCCTCCCCACCTGCAGGTTCCAGTCTCCTCCTCAAATGTCATTTGCACGTGGGTCTGAACCTCACCTCCCACGTGGAAGAGGTGGCCCAGCAGAGGGAAGGCCCGAGTGGGATGAGTGGCCATAGGTGAGGGGCTGGTGCCACGGGCTGCACATGGGCACCCGGTCTCAGCTCCCCCACTCTGGGGGACCGCAGGGCACTTCCCTCCTCCACTCTGGGCCTCATTCCTCCATCAGGAGTCGGGGATTCCAGAGGCCCTCCTAGCTATGACATGCTAGGGCTCCCTATGAGCCTCACGTGGGTGGGAAGGGATTTTTAATGTCCCCTCCCCCTCTGCCTGACAGCCCATCCAGAAGTCCCTCTGACCTAACCCCTCCATGATTCCTGCCAGGGAAACCCAGACCTGGCTGACTTGAAAAATCATCCCTGGCCGGGCAGCTGTGGCTCAGCCTATAATCCCCGCACTTTGGGAGGCCAAGGCGAAAGGACTGACTGAGCCTGGGGCTTCGAGACCCGCCTGGGCAACTTGGCAAGACCTCATCTCTACAATAAATCCAAAATTAGCCGGGCGTGGTAGCGCACGCCTGTAGTT